CACCACTTCGTGCGCCGCCACGCGCTCTCTGCGGTCTCTGCCATCTACAGCCTCCAGCACGGGGACCAGCTCATCCCCGACGCGCCGGATCTCGTCGAGCGCGCTCTCGCCTCCGAGCAGGACCCCGCCGCGCGCAGGAACGCCTTCCTCATGCTCCTGGTGGCCGGGCAGGACCGCGCCGTCGCCTACCTCTTCAGCAATGCCGACCGCGTCGCGGAGTGGCCCGATCTGCTGCAGATGGCCGCCGTCGACCTCATCCGCAAGGTCTGCCGCTCCAAGGGCCGTGCCGACAAGGGCAGGTACATCACGGTCATCTCCCTCCTCTCGGCGTCCAGCGCGGCTGTCGTGTACGAGTGCGCGGGGGCGCTCGTGTCCCTCTCTTCGGCGCCCACGGCTGTGCGCGCCGCCGCCAATACATACTGCCAGCTGCTATCCTCGCAGAGCGACAATAATGTGAAGCTCATCATCCTGGACCGCCTGCACGAGCTGCGCTCCTCTCACAGGGAGGTGATGGTGGATATGGTCATGGATGTGCTGCGCGCGCTGGCTAGCCCCAATGTGGATGTCAGGAGGAAGGTGCTGGATTTGGTCCTGGATCTACTCACCCCGAAAAATGTTGAGGAGGTGGTGCTCTACCTCAAGAAGGAGGTGGTTAAGACACAGGCCGCTGAGGTGGAGAAGGGTGGTGAATACCGCCAGATGCTAGTGCAGGCCATCCATAACTGTGCCAAGAAGTACCCGGAGGTGGCTGCATTGGTTGTACACCTTCTCATGGACTTCCTTGGGGATCCTAATGTTGCTGCAGCACTTGACGTCGTTCTATTTGTGCGTGAGATTATAGAGACTAATCCCAAGCTCCGTGTGTCCATGATCCAGAGGCTGATCGACATATTCTATCAGATCCGGGCATCCCGTGTCTGCTCCTGTGCTCTCTGGATCCTTGGAGAGTATTCCCTGTCTCTGTCTGAGGTTGAGAGTGCCACTTCCACCATCAAGCAATGCCTTGGGGATCTTCCATTCTACACTGTCTCTGAGGAAGGTGAGACAACTGATTCCTCTAAGCCATCCCAGCCAGTGGTGAACTCTGTCACCGTGTCTTCGAGGAGGCCTGCTGTTCTTGCAGATGGAACTTATGCCACACAGAGTGCTGCAACTGAGACTGCTATTTCTGCTCCTGCTTCAGCTCTTGGGTCGTTGGCTTCCAGCCAGAATCTCAGATCTCTCATTCTGTCTGGTGATTTCTTCTTGGCTGCTGTCGTTGCCTGTAACCTGACCAAGCTTGTGTTGAGGCTGGCGGAGATTCAGCCAGCAAAGGTTGAAGTAAACAAGGCTAGTACTGAAGCCTTGTTGATCATGGTGTCCATCTTGCAGTTGGGACAGTCATCTTACCTCCCGCACCCTATTGACAATGATTCGTATGATCGGATTGTTCTCTGTGTGAGGCTGCTTTGCAACACTGGTGATGATGTTAGGAAGATCTGGTTGCAGTCTTGCCGCCAGAGCTTTGTCAACGTGCTTGCTGAGAAGCAATTTAGGGAGACTGAGGAGATGAAGGCCAAGGCACAGATAAGTTATGCCCAACCAGATGATCTTATTGATTTCTATCACCTAAAGAGCAGGAAGGTGAGGCTGATCTACTTTTCTCTTATTTTTTTTCTCTGAAACAATATTTGTTCTCTATGAGTACTCATTGCTAGTTCATATTTTTCTCCTATTCCATTATTAGTTCGTAAATTGACAGTCTCACGTAGTGATATCATGGAGAGTCATGATTATAGAAGTATTGTGTTTGCTCTGTTTTTCTGGTTCATATGTTCTCTAGCCTAATGTTGAAACATATTTCTGTTGTATGAAGGTAGTAAAGCTAAAAAAATTGTCTTTATTGGGTCAAGGAATAACAAGATGTTCATATTTGAAGAGAGTCTATAGAGAAACTGAAATCAATCAACATTTTTTCCTTGCAATGGTCCATAGTGTGTAAAAGTTTTTTTATTAATTCATAAAGAAAAGTGTCATTGTCTTAATTCGAGGCTAATTATTGGTAACATTTTCTTAAGGATAGCAAAGCTATATTTTTCTAAATCATAGTTATATTGTTTTGTGTCTGTTGTTCAAAACTGCATTTTTATCATAGAAAATGAACCAACTTGTGTTGACATAAAGAATTGAACTTCATCAATGTTTAATTGACCATCTTTTTGAAAGCATGATAATTTTCTGTTTTTTGTTTCTTCCATACTAGTTCGCTTCCTTACATCCAATCTTGCATGGGAGCTTTCAGCATTGGGCATGCCCTTTTTCTTTGTGTTTCTTTCATACACTGCTAAATTTGGCATTTTTCTCACAGGGAATGAGCCAGCTTGAGCTGGAAGATGCAGTTCAAGATGATTTGAAGGCTGCAACCGGTCAATTTACTAAGGATGCAGATGATACCAACAAGCTAAATCGTATTCTTCAATTGACAGGATTCAGTGATCCTGTGTATGCCGAAGCATTTGTAACTGTTCATCATTATGATATTGTACTTGATGTTACAGTCATAAACCGAACAAAAGAAACACTCCAGAACTTATGCTTGGAGTTAGCAACAATGGGCGACCTGAAACTTGTTGACCGCCCTCAAAACTATACATTGGCTCCTGAGTCAAGCAAGCAAATTCGAGCCAATATCAAGGTCTCATCAACAGAGACTGGAGTCATATTTGGTAACATAGTTTATGAAACTTCAAATGTGATGGAACGATCTGTGGTGGTCCTAAATGACATTCACATTGATATCATGGATTACATCTCACCTGCTACATGTACTGATGTTGCATTCCGGAACATGTGGGCAGAATTTGAGTGGGAAAATAAGGTAATAGACCTCTATTCTGATTTTTTGTTTGTTTTTTAAGGCGGTTTCTGTAGTTTATGCTTCTATCATATAGATGTAACCTATGCTGAAATTGTGCCATATATAGGTTTCCACAAATGAGTAAATATCCTCTATCACATTACTTTTTTGTTCTTTTTAGAAGTTCTTGATTAATGACAAGCATCTACATGGTAACAACTTCTGGGTGTTTGGGTGAGGGACTAAAGAAATTTTAGGACAAGGAACTTCCCAATCATCTTCCCTCTTCAGAAATATCATCGATGTTCAAGGCTTCAAGCTGACCAATTTCAGTGGTAGCTTTACTCTGTTTACTTCTGTTATATTGGTTTGGCCCTAATATTATGGCATTTGATTGTTTAAACATGGTTGACATCAAACAATGCACACGTGTAGTCCTGCGTTTTTATGACTCCTTTGTCTTATTGATTAATTAGACAATTGTTTCATTGTTTATCAGGTGGCGATGAATACTGTGATTCAGGATGAGAAGGAATTCTTGAATCATATTATTAAGTCCACGAATATGAAGTGTCTAACACCACCGTAAGTTCCGACAAATCCAGACCATACTCATTTATCTGCATACTGGAATTGTGCCTGCCTTTTTATATTAATGCAAGAGATACCTGTAGTGTCATTAGTCATTCAGACACATGTAAAGTACAAAACATTGAAATACAGGCATAAATTTCTCTCAATAGTATAGGCATGAGGCATGAGGCATGTGTGGAAATTTATGGCCTTGTTACTGTCTCTGTATTCAAAATAAACTAGTGTAATGTTTATTTGTTCACATGTCTGTTCTACAGCAGGAGTGATCTATTTAGGTCAATATGGTTTTTACTCAGTTTCCTAGGTTGCAAGGCCAGTCATGTTTGCTTGATTATATGATTAAGATCAGATTACCTATCTTTGTTACAAGAGCTGAGCAAAAATTGCATAAAGTAGAAGAAATGTACCATAGTCCTTTACCAAGCCAACCATGCATGGACAGAGATCCAAATACCCCTTAATATTGATCATTCTACATATGATTTACTCCTTGTAGTGGAAGTACATGGTTTCTTAATTTGGTGTAGCAAAACCGAGAACCCTCCCATTTGTTCACTTAGAAAAGCTGTTTAGTTATTAAATTGGTTGGAAAACTGGGAAATTGTTACACTGCCCATCGCTAATTGTTGAATGAGTGCTGGTATGTGGGATATTTGAAGTTCTATTAGGCTAGAAAGATGATAAACTTTGCGCTGTGCATTTGAATGCTTTGTTTGCTAACACATTGCTCATTTTCTACTTACATCAGATCTGTGCTCGATGGAGAATGTGGGTTCCTTGCTGCAAATCTCTATGCCAAGAGTGTGTTTGGCGAGGATGCTCTGGTGAATCTTAGTGTTGAGAAGCAGGCTGATGGCAAGTTGAGTGGCTACATCAGGATAAGAAGCAAGACCCAAGGAATTGCGCTCAGCTTAGGAGATAAGATCACCCTAAAACAGAAGGGAGGCAACAGCTAGCTCAGCCATGAGTCGTTGATCTCTGTGGCTGGCACATGTCACCCCTGTTGCCATAATGGCCTCACTGGAACTCAAAATTTGTTAGTTGTTCACCAATTTTCAGGATAGCCAATTGTTTTGGATGCGCTGGAGTCGTTTGGCAGGTGGTTGTAGAGATTTCCATCCTGTGTGTACAGGATTGTGTAGCCTTGTTCTAGCTTACAGAATGAAGAATTTTGGTATACTTATACTATCGGATACTGACTTTATGAATCCTTGTACTGAACTCGATGTCTTCCAAATTCAAATGTCATAATGCAAATAATAAAATTATCATAGATTCGTTTATCTCGTCCAAGCACTACATTCTGTGGCAAGGTATACACTCAGATGTGTTCCTTGCTTTACCTGTATCAGTTGACGACTGACAGTATATCAGGATACTGTTACTTACTGTGAGTCTGACCCTGTCTTTGCTAAGTAGTGTAGAAATAATGCCTTAAAATTTGTGAATCATACATCAAACATGTCCATTTTTATAGACCAACAGAACTAGACATTGTACATGAGAATTGACAAATGAAAATTCATTTACTGAGTTATTCGTCCAGAACCTATGCTACTGAGATCGTCCTTCAGTTTCTGCTAAGATATGCATTCCTGATCCCGTGCAGCTTGGCAGCCACTTCCTGCATGCTGATGCGCTCGTTGGGTGAAGTCTTGGCGCAGCAGAGTCCAATGTTGATAACAGACTGCAGGATCTGTGCTTCACTGTCCCTGATGGCCATTGGCGTCTCCATGCTGAGGTCCAGCTCTTGCAGCAGCTGTGGGTCAACAATTTGCAACACGTTATCAGGGAAGTTGTTCTCTGTGAACTTTACAATGCTTATCCCATCCTTGAACATATCGTCTGTTGGCCGCCTCCGTATGAATATCTCTAGGAGAATGATTCGGAAGCTGTAGACATCCGAGGAAGTGGAAACCTGACCACCCCCTGCGCATTCTACACATCACATGCGGGAAGATTTTAGCCAAAACAAATATAGGTATTATGGAATGAACCAATGTCAGGTTACCTATAGTGAGGAAATACAAGGTGAAAACAGACAGTACCTGGAGCATCATATCCAATGGTTCCCTTGATGGCAACTGAAGAGGTCGAATTTGTGTCACTAGTAGAAGCTGATGTTGCGGAATCAAATTTGAACCTTGCTAGACCAAAGTCTCCAACATGAGCTACCATGTCACCATCCAGAAGAATGTTGCTCGGTTTCAGATCACAGTGCACAATGGTTCCTTGGTGCTCGTGGTGTAGATACGCCAAAGCGTCTGATACATCTGCAATGATGCTTAACCTCTTAGCCAGTGAAACATTGTTCAAAACTTGAGAGTTCTCATCCCCACCGTCTCGAGCTGAGTACAGTAAGTGATGCAGATCTCCTCGTGGCATGAACTCATATACTAGGGCCTTGAAATCATTTCCAGTAGAATCGATGGTTGAGCATGCAGTTAAGATAGGTACCAGATTGCGGTGCCGGACATTTCTCAAAGAACTACATTCTGCAATAAAGCTCTTTTGTGCTCCTCTCGTCTCCAGACTGAAGACCTTGATGGCAACAACATTTGCGTCACGAAACAACTGTCCTTTATAAACAGAACCGTATCTTCCCTGACCAATTAGATTGGATGCTGCAAAACCCCCTGTTGCTCTGACAATATCACTGTAAGAAATTTTCTGGAATTCTCTCCCGATAGAGGGTAAAGAAATGGATTCTGTCTTCTGTTTTTGCCTCCGGATGAAGAACACAACAGAAATGACTACAGAAAGTAGCACCACTATGGCCACTGGGATCACTACTTTCTGTACAACTGATATCCTGTGCTTAGATGAATCCAAAGGCATGACATGACATGCAGGCAGGTGTAGCTCCAGCGGTCCACCACAAAGCTCCTGGTTTCCTTCAATCTGTATAGCAGTTGTATTCTTGAAGATCCCTGCTGGTGGCACCTCACCGTCAAGATTATTGAATGATAGATCAAGTTGCTTAAGAAGTTGTAGGCTGCCAAGAGACACTGGTATTGGACCAGTCAAGTTATTGTGAGACATGTTGAGAATCTGTAGGCTTGTCATATTGCCTAGTGAAGTGGGGATACTTCCGCTGAAAGCATTATGTCCCATCTCGATATCTTCTAAACTTTCACAATTACCAAGAGTGCTAGGAATGTTTCCAGATAGGTTATTTGATGAAATATCCAAATATGTGAGTTGTTTGGCATTGCCGATGTCGGCATGAAGTGGTCCCTGTAGGTTGTTGAAAGATAAGGTAATCTCCCTTAATGTTAGAATTCTGAAGAGCTCCTTTGGTATGTTGCCTTGAAGATTGTTGTTGGAAATGTTCAGTGATCCAAGTGTTTGGAGGTTTCCTAGGATCGGAGGTATGTTTCCATCGAACTGGTTTGAGTCTATATAGAGTTGTTCTAACTGAGACATGTTTGAAAAGGATGATGGAATGGCCCCGGTAAAGAAATTGTTGTTTAGTGTTACTTTCTGTAGATTTCTGAGAGTTCCAATCCAGTCTGGAACTACACCTATAAATTTATTGACGTTCAGTGCTACACTGATCAGTTTGTGAAGGTTTGCTATACCAGAAGGAAACTCCCCTGACAGTTGATTATATGCCAACTGTAGAAACAGGAGTTGACTGGAAAGGTTGCCCACTGAATTTGGTACATTGCCTTCTAGCTGATTCATCGATAGTGAGAACACTTGTAGCTCAGTGCAATTTGCTAAACTATTCATAAATTCCCAGTCTTGATTGTTACTTGCTTGTAATTTGTTTACCTCAAGATTTAACCAAGTTAATTTAGAAAGTTTACCAATGGAGCTAGGCACAACTCCGGTGAGCTTATTCCTTGATATATCGCAAAGGTACAGCATGGAAATATTTGTGAAAGAAGGTGGGATACGCCCAAGGAAAAAGTTGGAGCCTAACTCGAGCATTTCAAGATTGGGAAGAGAGTTGCCAATATTTGGTGGTAAATCTCCACTTAGATCACAGTCGGCCGCATTCAGTTCAGTTAGGCTAGAAAGATTAAGGATAGGCTGTGGAAAACTGCCAGAAAAATTATTGCCACCCATGTACAGATATTGCAGCCCTGACAACTTTGCAAACTCACTTGGGATGCTCCCTTCAATGCTGTTACTTTCAAAACCAAACACAAACAGTGCTGTGATGTTGGCAAGAGAATCAGGAATGGTTCCAGTCAGATTATTATACCCAAGTATCAGCTGTTGAAGGCCATGAGGCAAATCTGCAGGTATCTGTAGTTAGTTGATTATTGGACAGCCCCAAAACTTCAAGTCTGGAACAATTTGCAACACTGGGTATCCTACCTTGTAGCGTATTATTAATCAAGTTGAGCTCTTGGAGGCGATGCAGATGACCAAGGGATGGAGGGATCTCTCCAGTGAATGAATTAGTCGATAGGATCAGGATTCTCAGGAATGTTAAGTTTCCAAGCGAAGGGGAGATCGGTCCAGCTAAGCCTTGATTCTGAAGACGAAGAGAAGTGACACGATTTGGGTGCTTGGCGCTACACTGGACACTTTTCCAGCTGCAGAAATGGGTGGTGTCATTCCAGGACACCAAGGCTTGCTGTGGATCACTGGTGATGGCCTTCTTGAACTCCAGCAGCCACAGCCTATCTGTGCTGTTTCGGTCCAAGGAGCAGATGGCAACACGTGCACAGCATGCCATGAGCAGCAAGAGAAATTGTGGGTGTGGGATTGCAGTTGCACTATGCTTCTTCATCCCTAGGCTTGATATCTTCAGTAAATCTGAACCCTTGAGTACATGCATAGATAAATATACTGAAAAGGGTGGCAAATTGAAGTTCAGACAGTGTACTATAATTTATCAAAGACAGTGTACCCATAACTACATTTATCAACAACCAACAAAGGCAGCCTCTGCTGTTTCCAAAAGGTTAATAATATCAACAAACAACAAAGACAGCCTCTATTGTTTCCAAAAGGTTAATAATTTGTTAGCTTTGCAGTTTGCTTGGTGAAACTAAAGTTGCTAGACAGATGGAGGAATTGGTCGAAGAAGAGCTCAAACTCAAAGCAGAGATAGTGAGATACTGAGATACACACCTGCCAGTGCCAGCCAACGATATGATGTAGCTTGCTGATGAGTCGCTTGTTTAGTTTGTTACTAGCCTCACGAGATGCACGGACCCTCCGGAACATATAGGGGTGTAAGGAGAAGCAGAGTTCTTATTTTTACCATTCGCCCGCAACAAAGACAGCCTCTTGTTTAGTACAGCAGTCCTGGTCATGGCCATGGAGGTTAACTGCTAGTAAAGAAACATGTCAGTTAACGTTCCAAGCAACCCATTGTGCGCCGCCGGCACACAAAAATCTTTTTAATTAGGGCCGGCATTCGTGTCTTTTGTGCTCGTCGGAGGTAGGTGTAGTAGGTCTGTGAGATCCACCAAATTTATCGAGTTAGTTGATTGTTTCTATAGAAATTGCAACGAAATAAACCTGCATTTTTTATACAAAATATGTGTAATAACCGTCGCCTGAAAAGAAACTAAAATTCAGGCGCCTGAATTTTAGTTTCTTTTCAGGCGACGGTTATTACACATATTTTGTATAAAAAATGTAGGTTTATATTTTAACCAGACACGTAACTTTTGCTCTACGCCTAGACATAATATATATCTAGATGCATAATAAAATCTATGTATCTATAAAAGTCAGAATGGCTTACAATTTGGAAAAGAGAAAGTATAAGTTACTTAGAGCATTTTACTATTTATTTTAAGCAATTAAAACCAAAGCATAGAATTAATTTCATAATCTATTCTATAACGCTCAATTTGGTCTGAAACAATTTCACTACTATAGAAAACATCTTTAGAGGCGGGTAAAATAGGTTTTCAGAGGTGGTCAGCCCAACCGCTGCAATGCCAGCGATTGTGAAGATAAGTGATTTTCAGAAACCGCCAACTGCATCACCTGGATTCGAACCCACAACCTTTCACTTGCGCAATACCTCCGCTGCCATCACACCATGCGGTCACTTATGTCTAGTTCTACAATACTGTCTATTTCTACTAATATATATGAATCTTGTAATCAATATTTTATCTCATAAATAATCTTAAATGAGAAAACTTTCAATTACAAAGTTTAAAATCTCGTCGAGCATTATAACTTTAATATAAAACATTTCTCCATCCAAGGTCATTTGAAAAATTTAAAATTTTGAAATTCAAAATCTAAGACTTAATTTATATATTTGGAACCCTAAATGATCTCAAACAAAAAATTTATCAACTACAACGTTTTAGATCTCGTTGAGCTCTACAACTTTGATACAAAATTTGTCTTCATCCAACTTCATTTAAAAAAGTTATGAATTTATTTGTGCTGCAACCATTTTAAGGATGACTGACTTAGTCAACCGTCTCAGAAAATCAATTTTTAGAGGTGGTTGACTTAAGACAGCTGTATCTGAAAATGAGTGATTTTCAGCGGTGGTTTTATTAAGTCAGGCGGTTGACTTAATAAAACCGTGGCTGAAAATCATTCATTTCCAGAGACGGTTGACATAAGCAACCATTCTTCGGTTTTCTTAACGGAATCGCCCCTACATGTTTAGAGACGGATTTCTTAATGGAACCGCACCTAAAAATTGATTTCTGAAAGGTCCTAATGGCCAGAGGGGGGTGAATAGCCTAATAAAAATTTCTACAACAACACTTAACAAATATGTTAGACAATTATGAGGTGAACCAAGTGTTGCACTAGTCTACTAAAAATGCAAGCCACCTACCACAATTCTAGTTTAAATAGTATCTATCCACACAATACCTATAACACTACACTAAGTTAGTGTGCTCTCAAATGCTAACTAAAGAGTCACACTAACCAAACTAACAAGCTCTCACAACTAGCTACACTAAAGAGCTTGACAACTAGTTTGCGGTAATGTAGAGAGTAAGCAAGATAGTTATACCACCGTGTCGAGGAAGGAGCCAATCAATCACAAGAGTGAATAACAATGAAGACCAATCACCTCGGAATCAAATGATGAACACAATGATTTTTTACCAAGGTTCACTTGCTTGTCGGCAAGCTAGTCCTCGTGGTGGCGATTCACTCACTTGGAGGTTTACGCGCTAATTGGCATCACACGGCAAACCCTCAATAGGGTGCCGCACAACCAACACAAGATGAGGATCACATAAGCTACGAGCAATTTACTAGAGTACCTTTTGGCTCTCCGCCGAGAAAAGGTCAAGAACCCCTCACAATCACCACGATCGGAGCCGGAGACAATCACCACCCTCCGCTCGACGATCCTCGCTGCTCCAAGCCATCTAGGTGGCGGCAACCACCAAGAGTAACAAGTGAATCCCGCAGCGAAACACGAACACTAAGTGCCTCTAGATGCAAACACTCAAGCAATGCGCTTGGATTCTCTTCCAATCTCACAAAGATGATGAATGAATAATGGAGATGAGTGGGAGGGCCTTGGCTAAGCTCACAAGGTTGCTATGTCAATGCAAATGGCCAAGCTAGTGAGCTTCAACCGGCCATGGGGCTTAAATAGAAGCCCCTGCGAAATAGAGCCGTTGTACTCCTTCACTAGGCACAACGTGGGGTGACCGGATGCTCTGGTCAGATCGACCGGACGCTGGACCTCAGTGTCCGGTCACGTGATTCATGCCACATGTCCCCTGCTTCAAATATTGTTCGTCAGATTTCAACGGTCATCTGTTGACCGGACGCTGTGCACAAACTGATCGGACGCTGAGCCTCCAGCGTCCGGTCGTTTCCAATAAGGTTCCAGGAACGATTTTTCCCGACCGGACACAACCAGCATCCGGTCACACGATGTCTTCTTTCTGCGCTGCCCGACAACAGGACCGGACGCTGCCTTCCAGCGTCCGATCAGTCTGAGACCCAGCGTCCGGTTAGTGACCGACGCTGGCGTCTACGCTGCCACACTTGACCAGACGTGCCGGTCCCTCGAGACCAGCGTTCGGTCACTCAGTGAACAGCGAGACTAACTCCTTTTCACCTCTAACTTCTTCACCCTTGCTCATATGTGCCAACCACCAAGTGTATCACCTTGTGCACATGTGTTAGCATGACCCTGTTCACTTGGATGAATCTGGATGAATCTATGAGAGAGTGAACAATGTTTCTAAGCCGGGAACAGTGAAATCCAGCTGGTTTCTATACCAGCCGAACCAGGCCCATATTTTCACAAATATTTTCAAGGGTGTTAGTACTCCACTAGATCCTAAATGCATATGCAATAAGTTAGAGCATCTAGTGGCACTTTGATAACCGCATTCCGATACGAGTTTCACCCCTCTTAATAGTACAGCTATCAATCCTAAATGTTATCACACTCTCTAAGTGTCTTGATCACCAAAACAAAATAGCTCCTACAATTTATACCTTTGCCTTGAGCTTTTTGTTTTTGTTTTTCTCTTTCTTTTTTTCAAATCCAAGCATTTGATCATCACTATGACATCATCATCATCATGTTATGATCTTTCATTTGCTTCACCACTTGGAATGTGCTACCTATCTCATGACCACTTGATAAACTAGGTTAGCACTTAGGGTTTCATCAATTCACCAAAACCAAACTAGAGCTTTCAATCTCTCCCTTTTTGGTAATTGATGACAACCCTTATACAAAGATATGAATTAAAATTCAATTGAATCCATATTGCTTGTCCAAGCATATTTACCATCTGTAAAAGAATATGGACAAGTTTCATGAACTCCATATGGTAGCATTTGCTCCCCCTACATATGTGCTAAGAGTTTGAATTATAGCTTGCACATATGCTTAGATAGGAAATAAAGGAGGCAATGTCTACCATATGATGCTAAGGTATAAAAGATGGACCTTTGAAGCGTGATACTAATCGAAGTGCACCATTATACCATCCTTAGCACCATTGTTAGCTAGATACCACTTGATACCACTTGGAAATACACTTGAAAATACTAGGAAGTGAAATCACTAGATAACCTATGCATGCTAGATTTTCATTTCATCATTCAAACTTACAACTAGCATACATCACACAAGCATGGATTATTGAAATTTAAAACTTGTGCTATGCAAGCAAACATATGAAATGCACATTCAAATGCACCATACAAGTTCATGAGCTTGCTCCCCCTACTTGTGTGCTTATAATTTTCAATTGATCTCTTTCCTTTGTCATATCTCTCCTCCTATATCATATGTCAAATATATCTTTATTTTTCTCTCCCTTTATTTCTCTTCTCCCCCTTTATTTCTCTCCCCCTTTATTAATATCTTTGTTTCTCTCCCCCTTTGTCATCAATGACCACAAAGGTTTAAATGGGGTGAGGATTAAGATGTAGATAATACTACTTGTAGGGTCGAGATTATCAATGTCAATCAATGGGGTGAGGATCATTTTCCCAAATTTAGTTCAATCTAGATCATTTGCCAAAGATATTTAACTCGGTTTGATCCAAGGACAAGCTTCTTCACACCTCCAAATAAGTGTTATCTTGTACCATATTGAGTTAAACACTTAGAGCTTATTTTCTAGATCAAACACTAGGTTTACAAGCCCACAAACATGTCATATGCTACCACTAGATCAAAACAAGCATAGAAGCAATAGTGGTACCATATAATCATCAAATTCATTTGATTTTCATGAGTGAGCCTAATAAAATTGAGAGATGACTAGATGCACTAAACAAGTCCTTATCAAAGATGTATGTCATGCCAATCAACTTTTACCTTGGATTGCTCGAAGGAGGGGTGCATCAACACATATTTGAGAAATCCAATATGTTCAACTCATTCCTTAGCTTGCAAAACCTTTTCTCATTCAATGGCTTGGTGAATATATCGGCAAGTTGATCTTCGGTGCCTACACTCTCTATGCAAATGTCCCATTTTTGTTGGTGATCTCTTATGAAATGATGGCGGACATCAATGTGCTTTGTTCTTGCATGTTGAACTGGATTGTTTGTCAACTTGATTGCACTCTTCATTGTCACATAGCAATGGCACTTTCTTGAACTTGATTCCAAAATCACTCAAAGTGGCCTTCATCCAAAGTATTTGTGCACAACAACTACTGACGGATATGTATTCGGTTTCGACGGTTGATAATGCAACACTATTTTGCTTCTTTGATGACCATGAAACAAGTAATCTTCCCAACAATTGACATATGCCCGAGGTGCTTTTCCTTTCAACCTTGCATTCCGTATAGTCCGAGTCGGAGTAACCAACTAACTCAAACTTTGCTCCTTTGGG